GTCATTGTCTGTGCAGGTGTGTGGCCTCTCTCTCTCTCTCTCTCTCTCTCTCTCTCTCTCTCTCTCTCTCTCTTCTTCATCGTCGTTGTCTGTGCAGGTGTGTGGCCTCTTCCTGCAGCGGTGCAGCTATGGCGGACCCTTCTTCCTCAATGCTGTGGCTGCTGCTATGGCGCCCAACTGGCGCTTCTTCTCTTCGCGCTATGGCACACTGCTGACATTGCACCGGACTGGCGCTTCTTCTGCCTCCTCACGACGATGGTGGGTGGAACACCATGAACCTGCTCTGATACCAATGCAATCAGACTTATCTTCTTCTTACTCAGCATGCATGGAAACAGATGGCGACGATGCGCCCACACAAAGCTGAGAGATATCGTGACCAAGAACACTGTTCAGCTTCAACTCGCTTTGAAATAGCTATGGCGCCTGTGTGCCTTCACAACACCCTTTTCCACCGGGCCCAGAGTGCACACAGTCCCACATGGTACTTCCTGACTGGACAAAGTGAGACTGGGACTGGGTACAGCTGACTTGGCAAAGTTGGACTACCCACTTGCCCACTTGCCCCTGGTCTAACCTGAACAACTCTCGAAAGGCCACTTCCGGACCTTCCAGAAGTCTGTAGGCGTGGCCTTTCGAGACTGTAAGAGCCACGACCTTGACCTTTCAGGACTGTACCAGCTACGACCGCTACACAGCTACGACCTCTACTTGACAGACCTACGGATCGAACCCCAACAACTACACAGACCTACGACAGACAACAGTCAACTACCACGGCACAGGTCACAGGCTCAAACACACAGGGGTCGACTTGATACTGTACACGGGTGAGGACAGGGTCTAGGGATTGAGCCCTGGGATCTGCATCTGCTACTGCCAAGCTGAAAACCGTTTCAGCTTTAGACAGTCGCCTGGACCAAATTGGTTAGGCATGCCCAACCACTCAGGCACAAACGTGAGGTGCTCCCTGCTTCGACCACGTTGCTGGAAAAGCCTGGAAGGCTCCCAAATATTTTGGATTCTCATGGCAAGGCGGATGTCACCAACTGGCACGTGGCAATTATCTGGCGCCCAACAAGATTTGCAAAAATTGACGAACTCAGGGCACATTGAGATTCAGGGGGCCCGTCTTTACTTAGGGCGGGCACGCACCTGCTGCAGGGCCTTAAGACGAGGGGTAAACCCTCGCACTATGTTATGCAGAAAAATAAACTGAACAACTTCTGCCTCAGGTTGCATCGAAATTCTTTACCAATTTTCTTCTTTTTTTTTTCTTTTTTTTTTGGGGGGGGGGTGGGCCTGGCCGGACAAGTGGTCCCGGGCCACTCTGGTAGCGTAGCAATTTACTAATTTCGCATTTTTTTTTTTTTTTGGGTTCGCGTATCCGAACTAATAATTTTTAGTATTTTTACCACATTCCTTGACCATGAATGATTGCCCCAGAATAGAATAAGCGATGCCATTTGCACAGTTAGGGGGAGAGGGATTGGGGGGGGGAAGGCATCATTGGTAACTACAGGTATACATCGCAGAATCATCATCATGCACTTACACCTCATCAATCAGATAAATTGGATTGGAGAATGAAGTTTGAAGGGCATCCATTAAAACTCAAAATTGGGAAGATACAGAGAAGAGAAGATTAGCATGGCACTTGCGCAAGTAGGGATGACACACATAAATCGAAGTCTGAAGTTAAAAGTCTGATGCTCAGAGTCTGAAGTCTGAAGTTTGCCATTCAAACACACGACTTTAATCCACATACCCGTTGGCAGATTTCCAAAGGAGAATGACCCGTCCTCGCCTGTCTCAGTGCAGGAAACTTCTTCGCCGGCCAGGGAAGACACAGTAACATTCACTCCTTGCGGACCATGGTTGGGGGATTTACAACTAGGCCCTCCAGCCACACCCATCACCCTCCCAGAAAGCGAGAACCTGGGAAAGACACGTCAGCAGTTGTCCATGTGTCAACCTACAAACGATTATTATAACTTTTGGGGGACCACAGAGAAAAGCGGGGGCAGACGGTACTGGAAAGACGATTCAACAGAGATTCAAATTTCACACAGAACAGGAGAGAACATTCAGTACAGCGGAGACCATTCGAAAAACATTCAGCATGGTGGATTATAATCACACAGTATGAAAGATTCACTACTGTCTTCACTCGAATTTAACGCACACCGCACGGTCATTATCACTGTAGTCTAGACTGAAAGTTGCCCCAAATACAGCTATAATGACCATACGTTCTATTCAGGGGAAGACCGTACTATTCTATATGGAGTTTCATCGCACAGTGATATTCACTACACTACTATATGTGATTAAACTCCGCTGTGCACATTCACAGTAATGAATATTCCATACTAATCTCAGTGGAATTTAATCACAGACTGCGGTACCGACCAGGCCGCCCAAGCCACCCTGGTCGACAAGGGCCATGGAAGCTTTCCCCACCCAAAAAAAAAAAAAATCCGAAACGAACTATGTTGAGCAGAAAACTACTTTTCCCTGCGGGTCACATCCAAATTCTTTGCCAAATAAAAAATAAAAAACTAAAAAAAAATTAAAAATAAAATTTTATTTTTTTGCAATAAACTCAGTTCATACTACCTTCATTGTGGCATTATGAGCCACATGGTCCCCAGTTAGGGCCCGGTTCCAGGTAGGCAGGGTAGGCCTAAGGGGACGACGGTTCAGATGAGGCCCAGGTAGGCCAGGGGCACGGCGTTTCGGACAGGGCAGGGGTAGAGGCCCAGGCCAACGGCCACAAAGCCGGAACCGGTCCGGCATAGGACCTACCAGCGGCACAGTTCAGAGGCTGCCGCCTTTAGGCGCTAAGTCCAGTTCAAATCTGGACCGTTGATCAGATCAACGGTCCAGGCTGGTAGGTACCAGCAGGTAGGAGGCCGGCCCAGCACTACAAAAGGCTGGGTACCAGCCTCAGTAGGAGGTTAGAAGTTAGTGAGGTTGGAGTTAGTCTTCAGGATTAGCGCAGCCTTGCAGCGTTAGTGAGATTAGCACGGCGCAGCAGTGTTAGCGCGAGCAGTGAGGAGAAGACGAGCGCAGCAGCAAGAAGGAACAGCGCAGCGGCCCTGCCGCGCCATAGCTACCGGATCAGGTACAGGGGAGCAAGGCTTTGCCTTCTCTCCCTCTCTCTCTCTCTCTCTCCTCCTACCTTCTCAGTCTAAGTGTACTTCTGGGTTCTCCTACGGGACTACTATAAGTATGAAAGATGGTTACGACTTCTGATGACATTGGAGACAGCGACATTGAGACTATAGGTTGAGGACTACTTGTGGGATCTGATTTCATCTGCCTCTGGAGATGTACTTGACATTGTGAGATCGATATCTGAGACATTGTGGGACACTGTATTTGCGACATTTCGGACTTTCGCCATCTCTGACATTTCAAGATACTATCTTTGGAAACATTGAGTTGACGTAATCTTCCCTCTCCTCCTCCCTTCGTCTCTCTCCTCTCTCCATTCGTCCGTGGATGATCTCAGACCCTGGCCTTTCCTCTACGTCCAAGGCCAGGGCTTTCACACCCCTGATGAATGATTGAGAGTGTTCAATTGCAGTCCGAGTCAGGTCAGAGTCAGTCCATGTATCTCAAGTCTTCCGCTGTATTTGTATTTACTCTCTATTATCTGGTCGATTCTGGGAATCTGCGCCATACTTATGACTGTGTTTCACGAGTATGCAACAGTTTGGCATCGGAGCAGACCAGCATTGGATGACTCACCATTGATTGATTGATTGATTGATGATCTACACCTGTACTCTGTTATCATTAAATCGCAAGGTGCAAAATTTTTCTTTTTCTCGTACTTGGATAGTAATTAGGCCGTTAAAATTAAAATTTTAGGTTTTGCGACTTTTCTCCATATTGCGCAAATTAGGGAATCGCTAATTACGAGTAACCTAATTAGCACTAATTAGGGTTAGTCCTAACCTAATCTAAACGGCCTATCAAACCTATGGGAAGTAAGTGCCAGCCAGGCACCGCGCCAGTTAAGGCGGATCGGGCCTGAGCTCGGCCACAGTCAAACTGCAACATCACGGAACGTTCACTTTTTGCAAAATGCATCTTTTATTGTGTTTGAAAGGTTGAATCTTTCCAGCAAATTGTGAATTTTCCTACTACCATTCATTTTCTACTTACTTAGTGACCTCGTGATGATGCTAAATTCTCCCGACTAAAATTTCATGAAATTATTGAAGTTATGTTTAAATGTTTAAACTTGCTTAAACTTCATTCATTTTTATTTGTGCAAATTTAAATACTCTTTAATTAAAGATTTAACTTTTGCGAAATTAATTATTGCAAATTTAAATATTCTTTAATTAAATATTTAATCTTTTGCCAAAATTAAAATTTATTAATTCGTATTTTTTTCCAATTAAAATTTATTTAATTTCTCAAAATTCAAAATTTTTCGAGGGGGGGAATTTTTATTTTTTCTCTTTTTGATTAGTGTCAAAATTCAAGGTCAGGGGAGAAAGGGACTGTCTTGTTTGCCTCCCTGCCCTTCCTCCACCCCTACCTTCTCCCTCTCCTCCTCTCGGTACTACGGACGTCAGTCTCCGGCGACGTCAGCATTGTGCCACATCAGCAGCAGGCCACGAACGCAGATTGCCACATCAGCCGCATGCCACCTCCGTATCCCACGACAGCCGAGTGCCCAGTCAGCAGCGGCCACCTCAGCAGTGCCACATCAGCAGGTGCCACCACAGCGGTGACACGTCAGCAGCAGACAAAGACCAGAGTACTAAATGCGCCGCAGTCAACGGCTTGCTGAGCGTGGATCCGCAGGAACCAAGCCAAAACATGGACCTCAGACACCTCGGATCCCGCGCAGGCGACTCACGACCATGGCTGCGACCGGGGACGTCAATGCACAAGCCAGACGCAAGAGGCCGGTTACCCCTCCTATCCCAGTTCAGCAGACTGATGAAACGCTACTCGCGTTTCTCAAACGTCTCCAGCTCTACTCAGAGACCACTACAGCTGAACTAAGCAAGTGAGAAGAGGAGGAAGCCGCCCGCCAGCAGAAAATTCAACGCCAGCTGGCAGAGGCAGAAGCAGCACGTCAGCAGGCCGCAGCAGAAGCTGCAGCAGCCGCACGGTTGCAGCAGCAGCAGGTCGAGACAAGTCAAAACGAAGTTCGTTACCAAGCTACAATGGAGCTCGCCAATGAAGAAGCCACTTACCAGAGGTTACTCCGTCAGCAGCATTTTCAAGCAAACGAAGAACAAGAGGAGCCGACGGAGGACGAGAGAAACAAGGAGGCCACAGCAGTTTTGATGGAGAATCTGCTGTACACGTGCAATTGGCAGCAACGTGAACTACTGGCCATGCGGCAGGTCTTCATCCGCCACGAACACAACATTTAAAGCAATGGACGAGAAGATCACTACCCTGCAGGCCGAGATTAGCACACTACAGGCCGCCAACAGCCAGCAGCAGACAATCAACGACCAGCTGCAGTCTGATGTCAGCACGGGGTTGGCACGACTATCGGCAGCTGCGTCGAGGGGCAGCGCAGTGGCAGACTGCAGCCCAGCCTTGGCCGCACAGGCCAAGCAACTCGAGGAGCGGATAAACCACGTGGTCGCATCCCTCGGCAACATCAGCAAGTTTGCCGGAGCATCGACAGTCAGCAATCAGCTGCAGACGCTCAGCGACCGTGTTCAGGAACGACCGGCCGCCGTCGCCAAGGAATGGAAGATGCCGAACTTCGAGATCGAGAAGTTCGACGACTACCACAAGACTGATCTGCTGCAAAGGTGGATGGCATTCAACGCAGAGGCGGGCGTGCATCACACTCCACCACTGCGGTGACTTGACACACTCTACCTCCAACTCGTTGGATGGGCGCCGTCCTTCATGACACACATGGCGGTCACATTGGAATGCACCATCGCCACCCTCCACACCAAGATCATGTGGGAGGAATTCGAGAAGAAATGGAAGACCCGGTTCATGGTCAAGAACGACAAGCGTCACGCCTTGAACAAAATCTTCCGCATGTTTCAAGGCCAGCAACCTTCACGAGAGTGGCTGATGGAGTGGCAAAGACTCGTCGCCACCACGGAGTTGAACGTACCGTTCGACGCAATCTGGGCCGAATTCTTCGCTTGGACATGCGACGCCTTGACAGCTGCTCTCGGCGGCGAATTCCAGTATGAGACCTTCGATGACATGATCTCAAAGCCAAGGGAGCTCATACAAGGTAACCGGCGTGCGGCCAATGAGGCCCGCCAACAGCCCGGTTACGTAGAGAAAGGCAAAGGTCAGCAGACGCCGCAAGTAGCAGCAGTCCAACAAAGACCTAGTGAGGACCACGCAGCCACGTCTACATCAAGTGACGGAGATGTGGCGGCAGTGATACCACCGCAACGCTCAAGACCCCGAGGGGGAAAACAAAAGGTGAAACCAGCGTCGACGGATGGAGCACGACAGACACCATTGACAAAGTTCGGCATTACCGAAGACATGTTCAAGTTGTGACAGAAACGGGGATGTTGTTTTTGGTGCAACAGCACCAAACACATCACCAGCGCATGCCTCAACAAGGACAAGGAGAATGTCAAACGTCCAAGCTCAGGAAACTAAGCACCGCGGGAAGTGCAGCGACATCACTTCCCAGTCTGCCGGAGTCGGCTGCCTTGCTAGCAGTCTCTCTCACATCCGGGGACACCGCGGTAGTCACAAGTTCTCGCATTGAATTTGAGAACTATGCTGTCGAGCAGGTCCCACCGTTGAACCAGCCTCTTCACGTGCAAGATTCAAGCGCATGCGTGGTAGTTCCGCCGTCGAACAACGAACCGGTTGCTTCGCCAGCCCTTTTATCGAAGGATCCGTCACTTTGGGCGAGTCTTGAGGAACTCGACCCGTTGACGGTTGAGGACTTCCAATGGTTG